ATCCTATATACTAGGGTACATAACCTAGTGAGTCGGCTTTGGTGCCTTCGACCCAATAGTACAGTGAGGAAAACTCACCTGACAGTTTGAAAGATAGTTGAACTAATAACTGCTCCAAACAATGTCTCTACATGTCACCTAGACCCAGTCTCAATTTACTATTCAAATTACCCCAAATGACCTAAAGTCAAACTTGGTCAAAGTCAACGGTCAATTGTCACCAGTCAAAAGTCAAAGTCCAACACCATACCAAGTACACCTAGCATATTCTAGCTCTACGCATGGCGTAGATCCTTATTCCAAAATACGGAATTCAACCAGGCTATGTGCTGCGTAACCTAATGTAACACCATGTTTTGAATCGTTTCATAATTCGGGGCGGTGACATGAAGATCAGTTATCATAGGACTTCGGGCCTTCGAAGAGAAAGGGAGAGAGAGAGAGAGAGAAAGAGAGAGAGAGAGAGAGAGAGAGAGAGATTTAGGCCTTTTTAGATGTGAGTAATGTAGATTTGGTGATCCAAGAGTTTGGTTGGTGCTTTGGATCCCATGGGTATAACTGTAAAGTGATAATTCAGGCCTTTTATGAATTTTGGATTTAAGTTCGGAATGTTTTGAGGCAAAGGAGTGTTGATGGGATTTTAGAGCTTCTCATTACCTTTATGTGGATATAATGATCATCAAAAACAAAGTTGGAACGAATAAGTTATGATCGTTTGAAGTTAGGAAGCTTTTAGGGCTTAGTCTAGTACGTTGGGCGTACTAGGCATACATGGAGTACGGTGGGCATACTAAGGCATGCATGGAGTATGATGGGTGTAGCTGGAGTACGCTGCGTGTATGCGATCAGCGCCCAAACCCTATTTTCATGGTTTGAGCTTTATTTAAGCTCCTTAACTTCCCCAAACCCATTCCATTCTTAGCCTCCTCCTCTCCAACACCCTCCCTTGAAACCCTAACCCTAGTTTGATCATTGTGAACAAAAAGAAGGTGTTTTTAAGTGCTTTGGAGTCTTCTTGGTGTATCTTGGAGAAGAAGGAGCTCACTGGAGAAGTGTTGGTTGCATTAGAGCTTATAGATCCAGACTTTGTTCACCTTGATCTATCGTCTAGAGGTATAAATTTTGAATCTTGATGATACATTTTTTAGATCTACCGAGTTTTGGGTGTTATTAGCTTTTGGTCACTTTAGTGCATAAAGTCTAGATCTTGAAAATTTGTGACTTTGTTATGGATAAAGTTGGAAACGTTATCTATCTAAACATCATATTGATTCAGATCTAAAAGCTTGAGACTTGGAGTTAATGGATTAAGTTGGAAAAGATTCACTTTTGCTCCCCTTTGAGACTTAAAGACTAGATCTTGGTTGGTTGGACCATTCTAATGGATAAAGTTGGAAACTTTATCCATTTTGGAGTATTAGGAACCATAAAAATGCAATCTTGATGAGTTATCTATGACCATGCATGAGTTTGGGAGCTTATTATGAATCTTATTGAGCATTGGGTCCCATTAAGACATGTAAAGGATTAAAGTTGCCAACTTTACGTGTTAAGACATCATTTACGATTAAATCCGAGAATATGACTTAATGGATTAAGCACTTAGTAGGGACATGGGTTGGCTGTGGAGTATGTTGGGCGTACCCAGGTCGTATGTTGTGTGTACTGGCCAAAGAAGGTGTATGCTAGGGGTAAGTCTGAGTACGTGGGATGTACTCAGCTACCATTGACTTTTGTTGACTTTTAGATTTTAGGCCATATTCAGACTACTAGAGTTCTCGGCCTTGTTGGGCCAATAGTCATTTTGATTTTGGGCCTTCTTGGATTGAACCCAGAGTGGGCTTTGGGTTTCATTTTGGAATTTAGTCCATATTAGGATTTTGGTGCCATTGGGTTGGGCCTCGATTATTAGGACAAGTGAGGAAAGAGTAAAATGGTCTTTTACCCAAGAATTTAGACAAATGAATTAGATTCCTAATTATGGTTTATGGCCCAATTATTAATTGGGGTTTTATTTTATTGATTAGTACAGGGATTATACGAATCAACAGTCCAGGTGTTTATTTGATTTTCACTGATTTGAGGCGAGTCTCCTCATAGTGTTTAGCGGGTCGAAGGCACCAATGTCGGCCCATGATTTATTATGATTAGGATGTTAGTTGTCTGTGTGACTCTTGCATGTGTAGTATGAGATATGTATATTGGGCGTGGCCTGATGAGTATATTGTATGCTATTTGTATTAGTGATTCTTACATGTGTTTTATGTGTCTGTATGAATTTCGGGTGGGGATCGATGCCAGGAGAGGACTGATAAATGTGATGAGGCATGGCCCACCTCATATTATTGACAAATTTGTTCCGAACGGGGCTCGATGTCGGGCGGGGCTTGATGTCGGGTGGGGCCCGATGGTTGTTGGGCATGGCCCATTGTATGTTTGATATGTGTAGTATGTGGTATTTGGGGAACTCACTAAGCTTTGTGCTTACGGATTTATGGTTATGGTTTCAGGTACTTTCGGTTTGAAAGGGAAGGGTCCGACTTGATCGCAGCGCATCCACCCATATTTCCACAACTTTATAATTTTGGGATTGTACTCTGATAACTATTTTTACTTTGATACACTTTTGAATGTTTGGAAAAAAGATAATTGGTGTTTCTGATTAAACTAAAAATAAAAATTTTACCTTATAATTTTCGGGACGTTTCACCTTAAGTACGCCCTGTGTAGTCATGATGAATCCAAACTATCCATTAAGTGCTTAATACAGAAAGGCATCACGTCTAACTCTCAGATCTGGTCTAAATAAATTTCCTAAGTGATAAAGTTCCAAATTTTATGCACTTACATGGCTTCTCAAGGCTCAAGAGTAAGCCCTAATCTTATAACAATTTCTAAGGATCTCAAACTCATGCATGGATGGTTGGATAAGGCCAAGACACCATTTTTGTGACTTAATACCCTAAAATACTTTTGGAAATGCACTATACAAGGTTTAGAGTCATTCATACTCAAATGGACCAAAATAATAGGACAAAAAGGCATAACTTCAACATCTAAGCTATAGATCTATCAATGGAGGCATAAAGGTACAAACTTTATACATTCGGGAGATGTGGAGATGAATGAGGGAGAAGAACTTCTAGATCCAAGGTTGATTCAAGCTTCCTAGCACTACCACCACCTTTTTCATTCTTCAAAAGCACCCCAAAAACACACTTTTAAGCTTACAATGCACTAAAATAGGGTTAGGGTTTCAAGGGACTCGTTTGGAGAAATGGAGGTTGAGAATGGAAGAGTTTCATGAAGGATAAGGTCCTTAAATAGGGATCAAACCCCAAATTTATGGTTTGTACTCTGGCCACATACGCCCTGCGTACTTAAGATCTATACCTTGCATAGATCATTAAGGCCTCGTCAACATTTTTCCTTCTACGCGGTGCGTAGAGGCTATCTATGACCTGCGTACATACACTTCCAACAATTAATACTTAAACAAAAAGGAAAGAAGTTTACCTAAATGAATCGGGTGTTATAGAAACATACAAAAGCGGATTTTCCCATGGCATAAGTGCATGTATTTTTCGTTCAAGAGTCCATAGTAAGGGACTTGCCAATCTTAAAAGCAATGTAGATAAGACTTTCATGATTACTAAGTCATAAAGAATGCCATGGATTTGACCGAAATGTGAGTTTATCATGTCTATGCTCATTGAGATTTAGACCCGACCTCCATTTTTGAATGATAATAGGTACATTTTTAAATATAGAAGGGTCATTGTCAATTATGTTTTTAAGGCATTGATCATTATTGAATTTAAAAAGATAAATAGCATAAGCCTTTAAAATAACATCTCCAAGACAATATTAACGCCACCCACACTTTAGAGGGAACGTATCAGACAACCACATAAGTGAGTTTGTGTACAACAAAGGGTTCGAGCGTATGTGGAACATCTTTTTATTAACCACAATCATCGGGAGGTCAACAAGGATATCAATGTTGTCATTAATGTTGGGAAGAATTCTAAATTCTTCATTAGTATGTTTTGAGGGACACTCACCACATTTGCAAAAGAAGTAGGGAGAATACAGAGCATTTGGCACTCAACTATTTACAGTCTCAAGTTTGATAGATAGTGTTGGGGATAGCTTCCTGATCGAATGTTCTAGTATCATTTTTGCAATAGCGTGAAAATATTTAGATAATGTTTTAGAGGAATTAAAAGATTGGTTTAGAAAACGTACATGATGTTGTCACATAGTGGCATGGTGCCTCGATAGTTGGAGTATTTGTTGGGTCTTAAAGTAGGCCGAACTGGAGTAGGAAGAAGTAGAAGAACGTTGGACAAAACAATTAGCCAATCAAAGTATTGGGCTCGGTAAGTGGAGTATGGGATATAAGCATAAGGTCAAGGATAAGGATTGTGTTGTGGGTCCAAGGAATCAAACATAAAAATTAAATATCCCATTCACTCAGTAAATTAGTTTTTGATGTGTCCAACATAGGAAAGTCAGGACAATTGATGTTCCCTCTTGTCCATAGCAGCAGCAAGATGGTGGACGTCCAAAGTCCGTATACACATACATAGCTACTCCCTTCGTCCCAATATTATTGTTTACAGATAAAAAACACACAGATTAAGAAAAACATTAATTACCATTAACTTTATATAATAAAACGATAGTTTTGTTCTTATTTTGCATTTAATGTTCCATTAAATGTTTAGTTGGTTAAGTAATAATGAGGGGTATTTTGGTAAAAATATTATTTATTTTTAGAAGTGAATTATTATTTTGGGACAAATCAAAAAAGAAAAATAGATTATAATTTTGGGACGGAGGAAGTATTATCTTATCTTATCATATTTATAATTAGAGTTATGAATGTTATTATATTTAATATTATTTTTATAAAAAAATATTATTAAAAGTGATGAAAAGGTGTTAATTATAGAAAACAAAATAAGTTAATAATATATAAGATATTCTATATAGTCAACTTATTTATTATATTTTCCAAACATTTTATCTTAAATCAAGTTTAACATAAAAATAACCGTTTAACTATCATTTTTGACGGTGTAAATTAACCGATGTTCGAAAGGTTTTTGGGAAATCGAAGTCACATGCCAAATTTGTTTCATTCTCGTACAACAAATTGTCAAAAGAAAAAAAAATGAAAGAAAAAAAAAGATTAATAAGAATAACTACAATTTCACAAACCCCAACTTTCTCTTCTTCATGTCAAATTTGATTAGAAGACTACCTTCGTTTTCATTCTCCCACTCAAATTTCTCCATTTTTAAGAGATCAACAACCTATAACAAACATTCAGACATCTTAAGCTACACAAAAACATGAGATGATTGATCCTTGAAACAGTTAATAAGGTAACACTTATTTCTACATTAAAAAGGCATGATTTCATACCGCTTGTTTCAGCATCGACTGCCCAGTTCCTCCACTCCCATATCCGGTGATGACACGGAGCCGCCGCAGAGCTGTATATCACAACGATTAAAAAACAATCGAAAACACAATGTGTGTGTGCGCGCGTGTGTTTGTGTGTGTGTGTGTCTATCTATCTATATATATATATATATATATATATATATATATATATATATATAATATATTATATATATATATATATATATATATATATATATATATATATATATATATTAGATACTTACATCGACCATATACACCAAATGCAAGGTGATATTTTAGTCTCATCATTCCCTCTTTGACATGTTGTCCATGTAAATCGATTGTCATCAGATCTACAATATTATTTTTGTTCCTGTATTCAATAACAATATCAGTATATATATGTATATGTATATGTAATTAACAGGTTGGCTTTGTTGCCACCTCTAATATACAATGACAAACCTTGAATCAAAAATATCCTGGCTAGCCCTTTCATCAGCTTGCTCAGCTTTTTCCTTCCACATCCTTGCCTACACAAAAATTTATAAACTCAAGTCATTATCGTAAGTATTTCCTAGAAGATTGCAAAATCATTGTTGGCTGCTATATATATATATAGGAACTTAGTACCTACAAGGAGCTTAATCCATATTAGAATCCGAACTTTCACACATTGTGGCTGTTGGGACTTGAACCCTTGACAAACAATGTCCCCAAGAAAGGTGATGCTCAGGCTTAAAACCTAAGATGTCTCCTATGACCTATCACCAACCACTCATGTTGGGGCTTAATCCATCACCATGGTGGTATATAAGTGTGTGAACAACCACAAATTCAATTATCGTCACACAATCATACATAAATTTATATAACCAAGTTTCTAATTGGCTCATTAAAATATTAATACAATATCAATTAAACAAAGTTGCATGAAATTCTTGCAAGAGAAAGGTGTTTAATTAGTAGCATTTAAGGGGGCCTTCTCCCTCTCTTTCTCTCGTGTACCTACCTTTTCGTAGAGATTTACCCCCTCATCCCATTTTCCACTTGCATGTGCGTTTCTAGCCTGCAGTATATATAGAATGACAATGAAAGCTCAGCGAACATTAATGAAAGCCCAAAAGCGATACAAAAAAACATTATTGCCTGCTCAACGAGGGACTTTTGGATTTTCCAATGTTGATTTGCGTTATGCCTGTACTTCTTATAATCGTCCCCTTCACACACAAACAAATATCAAAATTACATCAATTATTAAACACACATAAACAGTTGGGACTTGTTTTAAAATATTTTACTTACCAGGAATATTATGTTGCTTTTTTGTGGTGTCTTTTGAAAGAAAGTCAAGTTTTTGCTTGTGGGACCCTTTTTTTACTACCTCCACCCAACTATCTGGATCATGTAATGCACTCTTTCCTTTAACGTCCCGAGTGTGTGACCCTTTTTTTACTACCTTAACCCAACTATCTTGATCATGTAACGGACTCTTTCCTTTAATGTCCCGAATCCGAGTCTGTTCAGAGAAAGTTCCGAGGCCAATAACAACTTCACGCCAACTCCTAAAAGAAAATCACAAATAGTCAAAGTAAGCCGCTGGACTACTTTTCAAATCTTCATTTTTTTTCCAATGACAAATAAATAAATTCTAATAAATTGATTCACAAATGAAATTTTATTAACACCAAAATCATTTGATATCAATACAAAATAACGTAATATATTAGACGACGAATTAATTACAACCTCTTGAATGACATATTACCCTCCTCGAGATCACTATTAGATGATGACGCAATGTAAGAAGCCCCACCAAGTAACTGTAACAAAGGATTCATAGCCATAAGAATATCATGCACTATTTTTAGGCACATCATCCATATTTAAAACCATAAGAATAAAAGTCATATAATTTTAAAGATGCATAAAGAACAAGTTACTTACAACGTAACTTTCTTTAAGAACATCCGTAACAACTTCTATGTTTGAGTTGTGTTGTTGTCTACTCTTCGAAAACTCAAATGAGGGCTTAATAGGAGATAAAGCAGGCCAAGTCTGAAGAAAATATGAAAATTAATCGAGTGAAGATGAAAGATGACCACAAAACAGACTTTAGAAGTAATTGACCACTTAACAAAAAAGCTTATCATCACCAATTTCCAAATAACTCATGGTGATCATGTATCATTTCCAGGCACATGATTCGTATTTAAAACTTTCAGAGATTAAAAAGTAATATAACAAACTTACATGTATCCCACATTTGTCAAAATAAGCTTTAACAGGTTCGATCGTTGTGTTTGAGTTGTGATATTCTCTACTCTTGGAAAGTTCGGATGAGGGTTCACTTAAATCAGGCATTGCTTCCAATGTCTGAAAACAATATGAAAATTAATTGAGTGATGATGAAAGATGACTAGAAAATGAAGAAAATAACATTTACTTTCACTCACCTTCAGAACCTCAGCGAGTGTTATCTCATAGGAAGAATTCATTGATATAGCTGACATTATCCTCTGTTTATCCCTACTATGAGATATATAGGAAACATCAGAGTTTGAGCACGAAGCATCAGTATCTGAGAAATCAAAAGAAGTATCTGTCCAATTATCGTCTTCGTCACTCAAAAGGGTCGTTGTATCTGTCATATCCCCTATCAATGCTGCAGCATCAGCAACCTCTTCCACTATGGTAGAGTTTAAAAACCCACTCTCTTCTTTTTTCATCAAACTGCTCAAAACCTTAGATTCCTCAGTAGTCTGACCAAGTGTAGGGTTTTGGCATCCAGGTTGCTTCAGATTTGAAATTGGTTGGCTTTGTTTCTTGCCTCTTCTCTTATTGCTTTCCTTATGTGGATGACCCATTAAGAGAAATGTTTGTTTGCACTAACGGTTTGTATACACTGCAATTTATATAAATTCCATTTAAATTCTATCATGTGTACGATTTAAAAATGAACTAGGAATGGCAATGGGGCGGGTTCGGGGCGGGGCATGGATTCCCAAACCCGCCCCGATAACTTTCGGGTATCTTATCGGGGCGCCCTATTAGGTTTCGGGTTTCCCCGTCGGGTTTCGGGTATCTTATCGGGTTTACAACAACTGATAACGAAATCTTTATTCTCTTTTAGGTATCCTAATGTCTTATAAAATATACATGTTCTAGCAACTCTTTTAAATTAAAAACATGATGCATCACTTTAATAAAATAAACTGGACGTTATATAAAAAATTATTTGATTTAAGTTTTGTTTAATACGTCAAAACACATAAAAATGATCATTAACACCAGATTGTTAATAACTAAAAAAATTGTCCACGATAAGTATTTTATATTTGAACATGTACAATTAACAGCAAAAAACTTTGAACATATTATATATATATATATAATCGGGGCGGGGCGGGTCAGAGCGAGGATAACCCACTCCCTGCTCCGAACCCGATAAAAAACCTGATAACGACCCGTTATCCGACCCGAAATGATCGGGTTTCGGGTTTCCCCGTCGGGTTCGGGTTTTTTTGCCATCCCTAAATGAACGTGTAGGCCAATTCAAGTAATTATGTGAATAGGTCCTACATTAAAAATTTGTCTTTTTGTCTAGACTTTCATATATAAAAGTATAGTTCACGATTTCCTATAAAAAGGTGCATTTATTTCACTTCGTACTTGCCTTTTTATCTTAGATCTAAAAACAATTCAATAATAACTTCACTAAATAGCTAATGTAACACTAGATCTCTTTATCCTATATCTAAAAACAATTCAATAATAACTTCATTAAATAGCTAAAGTAACACTAGATCTCTTTATCCTATATGTAAAAACAATTCAATAATAACTTCGTTAAATAGCTAAAGTAACACTAGATTTTTTATCCTAGATCTAAAAACAATTCAATAATAACTTCTTTAAATAGCTAAAGTAACACCAGATCTTTTTATCCAAGATCTAAAAACAATTCAATGATAACTTCATTAAATAGTTAAAGTAACACCGGATCTAAAAGAACCGAAGGAAAAAACTGATTGCACGAAAAACAATCAAAAATCGCTATTTTGGAAAAAAGATACTCACAGTCTTGCAAGAACCAAGTTGTAAAATCCCGAAGCCGGCTTAAATTACAGCGATCGTGTAGTGAATCGAAAGCAGAAATCAAAAGAATATTATCACCGGCTTGAATTACAGAGATCGTCTAGTAAATTCAAATCAGAAATCAAAAAGATATTAATCACACTACTTAAAAACTTTATGCAAGTCGTTGATAAAAAGTTTTCACCTGAATCCGTGATTCGCAACTGATCATTCCACTTGGTTGAAAGCTGAAAACCAGAAAGTTAATAAGGCTCAGATTATTGACGATGATTACATGAACAGAAACGAGTGTGGGAAGCTAAGAAGGGAAGAAGACGAGATCGTGTTATGGGTTTCACCGGAGGTGAGGGCGGTGGAGACTGGCTATGGGGCGGCTAGGTCGCAGATAGAAATGCGGGAGAGAGAGCAGATAGAAAAGAGGGAGAAAAGAGAGTGAGAGATGGTATCGAATGTAATTGGGTTGGAGAAGAGAGGAAATATGGAAATAGCGGGCTCGGCTTGACTGAGTCTAACTCCAAATTTTCACGCCATGAAGAAGCTGAATAGGCACAAATAGTGTTTTTTATTTTTGTCTTTAATAGTATATCATTTTTTTGTTTTGTTTTCTATACTAAAGGGTATTATTTAATATATATTTTTTAACTTATATGAATTGTCAAATTCTTTTAACAAATATTATTTAGTATTATTATATATATTGTTATTACGATAGTTCTAAATATTATGTGTTATAAAACTATAATAAAATGTTTTTTATTTGTAGATAGTTAATATAAATTAATTATAAATTTCATTAAATATCTATTAAATAAACCATTGGTGTGTAATTGGTTAGAATTACTTATGCATTGTATGATATATATCACTTATAAACATGTTATAATGTTTTAATTATTTTAAAATGTATTTAAATTTTCATATATATTGGAAAATTAAAGATTATATTTCTTTTAAAGCTTTTGGCTTTAGCTTTTACGAAAAAAAAAATGAAATTAAGAAAAATATTGGTTTAGCACCATGAGCTGTTAACTTTTGAATTAAACAAAAAAAAATTAATTTAAAAATTACTTCGTTTAATAAAAAAAATTATATTTAAACAATTTGACTTAAATAATTTTAAAATAAATAATTTATATTTATATGTTTTGGCTAATTAACTTATACGATTAAATATAAAGATATTTTAGCAATTATGATGGCCTTTACTTTTTATTTGAAACAAAATATATCTTATACAATTAAATATAAATATAGTTTAACAATTATAACGTCTTTATTTAAAATAAACTTATCGATGGATTGTATAAGTTTTTAATCATCATCTATTTTGAACAAATAAGTAAATATTTATTATATGAATTTGTAAAATAAAATTAATATTGTTGAAAGAAAAACTTTGAGACACACTTAAACAAAAGTTAGAACAAGTGTAATGCGGAATAGTTAATCTCGAATGATCTAAGAGCTCAACAATAATATTTAAGTTAGATGGTTAGGGAGTTAGTTGCGGAAAATAAAGAAATAAAAATGACGACAATTGTTATATCAAGTATACACGTAAGTTGATTCATAACGAGGAATGCATTCAAACCAAGTTAGTAAGTGAGATCAAACTTAGTGATTAAGTCACAAAAACTTGCTCCAAAGAGAGATTATAATCAGCTATGAAAGTGAAAGTAATAAGAGTAAGTAAGAAAGAGGTAGAAAGGATAAATCCATAGAAGTGTATTAGAAAGTGATAAATGCGTATATGTTACATAGAGAATGAGCTCTATTTATAAAGACTCAAAAATTACATCAGATTTGTTCTCTAAGAGTAGCCATGCAAAGCATACTGGACAATAGAGAGCATTTAAATAAGACAAAATAGATTAAATAATAAAGAGAGACTGCGGTTTGATATGGCTTCGGCTGCGGTGGCTTGTGAGAAAGACTTGACTGCGGGTGCACAGCTGACTTCGGTAGCAAAAGTTCAAGAGGATCACTTTTATGATTCAACAAATATCATACTATAATATTGTTTTTTTAGAAAGTCAAAACACTTGTAACATATAAAACATGTTTGGCATTAGTTCTTATAAAATTAAAAATGACAAAACTACAAATTTGGTCCCTGTGGTATTCAAAAAAATTTGGATAGGGTCCAAAAAGTTTCCAACTTGCATGGAAAGTCCAAAATCAAAGTTTTTCTGGGTTTTTGGTCCCTGATACACTTGAAAAGTCGATTTTGCCCTTTTCATTTCTTTTTTATATTTTCTTTATTGATTTTGGTATTTAACTAATTAAGAATAAAAAATAAAATCTAACCAAAACCCTCCCCTCCCCTCTCTCTCTCTCTCTATCTATCTTTCTCTCTATCTATCTATCTATCTATCTTTCTCTCTCTCTCTCTCTCTCTCTCTCTCTCTCTCTCTCTCTCTCTCTCTCAAGAAAGTCAAAAAAACCTGTTACTGTATTTTCTTAACCCTCTCAGCCTTTTCTCTCATTGTCCATCGACTACATCCAACATGCCTCCATCTTCTTGACTTCTTCCTTACATGATTTGCCTGAACTCTTTCTTTCTTTCTTCTTTCTCACCCTCTCCATCACCTACTCTTTCACTCGCCCCTTTTCTCTCTCCATCGCCTGAGAAGTTCACTGTCTAGTCTCTTAACGATGTACTTTCCAATGAGTTTCTAGAGTGAATCCATGGATACTACTGAATTTGAGAAGTTCACAGCCTCACCCCTTACCCACGATGCAACCGTAGACGTCCAATGGTTCGATTTCTGGGTGGAGAACTTTGATTTATTGATTCGATGTTGACAGTCAAGGGTTGGATGTGGTGATTTAAGTTCATTGGGTTTGATTTCATGGAATTTATGGGTCTTGGTCTTGATTTAGTTGCAGTTTTGTAATGGTTTTTGAACATGGATGAAGGTCTTGATTTAGTTGAGTTATAGAGTAAAATCGAAGGTCCAAGAACACGCAGATCCAAAATCGGAGGTCCAGAAAAAGGGAATTTTAGAAGAAATCAAGAAATATGTGTGTATATATGTTCTTGTGAGTTTCAGAATTAGACTCCAAGAAATTTGTTGCTGCTGTGTTTGTTATGTTTTCCCCCTTCTTCTTCCATCTCGATTGTTGTTGCCAGACGAAAAGGGAATGAGGCAGTGGAGCTGCTATCGCTTGCCACCCGTCACCGACCTCCACCCCGTTGTTGCCACTGCTGTGAACCATCACCACCTCCAAATGTTGCTTCCGTCGACCCTCTCTATCCAGCCACCACTCTAATTTGAAGGTGATTGCCTTCCCCCTCTTATTTGTTTCGTCCGATCGAGACAAGAGACTCAGTGTGATGAGATTTTTTCCAATCGATGTGGGTGCTTTGCGTTAGAATGTGTGTGTCTTTGTGTTTGGGTTTCAATTTCTTTCTATTTACTTGATTTTGGATTTTATTCATCAATTTGGGGTTATCAGAGATGAATTCCATGAGATTTTTGAGAAGACGAAGAGAGTGTGAGAGAGAGAGAGAGAGAGAGAAAGAGAGAGAGAGAGAGAGGTGGGGATACTTTGTAACGCCCGTAGATCCGGGCTAGTCAATTTAGAGGCAATAACTGTCGAAAAAAACTTTTCGACAAAAGATTATTTAGAATAAATAATCTTAACCAAATTGTATAATATGTCACAAGATTTCCGTACATATAAAGAACGCCGAAATCTGAGTTATAACGAAGAAGTTATGACCCGTCGAAGTTTCGCGACAGAACTGGCACAATACCGGGAAGCGTAAATAGTGAATTTACGATAGAGCAAGATTTAGCCTTAGCACCCTAAACGAAAGTCGTAGAATACGTTAAACGAAGAACATAGATAAAAAGAACGCCCAAATCTGACTTCGTATGAAGAAGTTATGATTTTTCGAAGTTTCGGATTAGCAGTGTACAACCCGAAATTCGAATATTAGATCTAGTGGTTTCTAGCCGACCCGACCTGAACGAGAATCGAAGATCTTGTTAAGAGTACCGTAACGACAAAAAGATGGGCAAAAACGGACATCGGATGAAGAAGTTATGAGGATTTAACGGACCAATCCTATCCTGGCTTGTTAATAATATAAAATTTCAAATAGATTCAAAATTAACCGACGGAGTCTAAACGAAAATTGTAAAGTATGTTCCCACTGGATATAAAGAACGTCGAAAACGGAGCTCGTATGTGAATGTTACGATTTTTAAAAGTTGAGAGTGCAATTTGCGAAGCTGGTGATGACTTGGCAAGATCCTAGCCTTCCCTTGCTCCCCACGGTCTCGCATCCGATGACCGACGCGTCACCCTCGCATTACGCCCCGCGTACGTTCGCTTCTTATCCACTCCAAGAACAATCCATGTGCGAGACAGCTGGAAGCCTTATCAGAGGAGTACGCCCAGCGTACCCTCGGTACGCCCAGCGTAATTCCGAGATCAGGTGCCTATAAAAGGCATGCGAAGGGTCCGAGCTTTTCACACATTTTCACACCAAATATCTTTCTCTCTCTAGTTTCTTTCTCTCTCTAAGACTCCAAACCACCCCTAAGCACTAGATAAAACCCCTAGCTCCCGGAGTCCCGAGAAAAAGAGTCTTTCAATTTCGAAACGCTGCTCCAATTAAGTTCTGGTTTTCGATAAAATTCGTTGTAAGTGTGCTACGCTTATGCAATTTTTAATATAGCTTTCAGATAATTATAGGAATGTTATTAGGTCCTTAAAATAATTATTTGGGCTATTATTATGAGTTATATTGAGTGTTATTAACGCTTATATAATAATAATAATAGTCAGACTAATTAAATTATCGCGGTTATCGTTAGACTAAACCCTAGTGGTATTGTTACTAGGTTTTATCGAAGGAAAATCGTTTTGAGAGTATCGAAGCGTTGTCCGAGTGCTGAGTCACCACCTTTCAAGTGAGTGCATAGTTACTTTCAGCTTACACATAGATATGAAGTATTTTATATAAATTACGTGCTATGTGTGCATATTATCCGAATACTTGCTATCTATGCTGGGTGAACAATTTTATACATGTTTTAAATGATTTAAACTGTATATGCATTTTATATCTACAAATATGTTGGGATAAAACATGGGTAGATGAAATAGTTTCTGTGTGAAGAAAATAAAATGAGGAAGATGTAATATAGACCATGAGGTAAGGGTGAGAGGTGAACCATGAGAGAAGCCTTTTTCCCAATTGATGGCCCCGTCATCCAACAGAGTATGGATGACAACCATGGACTATTCTAGATAGTCCAGTGGACACTAGCAGACTCGCAACCTGTAGGTGTTTTGAACTGTGTATTCACCAGGTGTACTCTAAAAACCCATCGACATGTATTGCGAGTAGAGTCTCGGAAACGATACCGTCGATAAACGAGATAAAACCCATTGACCTTTATCGCGAAAGGAGTCTCGGAAACGATACTGTCAATAAACGAGATAAACCTTGGGAACTATGGATTTAGTTCCCGTTGAGTAAACCTTGGCAACGATGGATTTCGTGCCTAT